CTATAATATTTACCATTTTAAGCCATCATTCAAGTTGTGCATTTAACATTTATTCATTATTTTAAAACCCACATCAGCCTGATAGTAGTATAATAATTTGAATTTTTAGTAACAACTTAAATAGCTAAAGTATTAAATTCAGAGCTGTGCATTACACTGTTTTGCTTTCAGTCTGTCAATATATTATAAGATGCTAGTACTGCTAACTGACAATCGCTAACATAGTCTGCTTATACACATAAAAAAATCTGGAAGAATTCTCCCAGGTTTCTTTTCCTGGTAGAGAAGCTTACCCAAAGCTGTGTGTACAGATATTTGAATGCTGAGACCCTGAAGAGTGAAGAGCTTTCTGTATTGACACTTTTCCTGCATAACCATTCGGGGGGGGGGGGGGGGGTGTGTGTGTGTGTGTAAAAAATATATTTCTCTACATAAGTTTATATATTTTTAAAACAGTTTTGTTTTTTTCCCTTGGAGTTAATTTGTGAATTGTAGAGCTAATGTAACAAAGCGAATGTCAGTTTCCAGTGTGCAGCATAATTGTGTTTTAAGATTTTAGAATGCTATATTGTTGTATTAATGCAGAATTATTTTAATTTGTAATATCTTGCTGATGAACAAAAGCTCTGAACTGTTCTGCCAGATGCACTAAATATGGTCTTCTTCCAAAAGGTTTACAGTCCAAGTGAGAAAAATGCATACACCCCTTTTTTTCTTTATACTTCTTAGACAATACAAAATGTATGTAAGACTAGAACTGGGATTTTGACCAAATGAGCTTTTGACTGGTTTCTCCACGTCTGCCTATACAGACAGCTGAAATTCCGCTGTATAGTCACCGAAGTGTAATGCCAATTGGGTGCTTTTATTTATTTATTTATGCATGCATGCAATTTATATGCTGCTCTTCCCAACAAAGGTTCAGGCAATTTATAGAGAATAGAACAACTTAAAAGGGCAAGTAGAATGTCAAAATGAGAGGTTCACGAAACGTCTCAGCCTAATATGTACGTAGACAGTTGGTGTCCCATCTGAACTATGGGATTTAAGCTTGGTTAGTTTAATGAAGCTGGAATCAAGTGTTAGAATTATATTCTAACAATTCAGAGCTGTAATAAGTAAGAGTTTTTATTTATTTTCTGCATCCTCTTTTATTCCTCCATTTTTAAAATAAGATGCTGGCATTAGGTTTTTGATGCACTGTTGATGTTGTTTGGAGGGTAGTTCTTAATTTGCCGTGGTTTGTTTAAAAATAATTCACAGTGCCTTATATTGACTAGGGTTGCTTCACGTCTTGTTGTGCAGCTACCTTAGATTTAAAACAAAAGAACTATTCTGGAGTAGTGCTTCACCTAACTGAAACCAGTTTATCTCTAATAATCTGGATTTGAGTGTTCCTTTCTGTGGCAGGCAAGGAGATACACTGATAAGGTACTGGAATTCTTTGTTTCCCCAGCACTTTCCACAGAAATAATGTCATGTATACTTGACAGTCAGGAACTTTTCTACAGCAGTCTACTTAACAGATGGCACCGATTTATACTAGCTTTATGAAAGATGAAGAAAGAGACAGGTGTAAAACTTGCAGATGGTTAAAGGCAGCAAAACAAAACAAAAAAACAATTTAAAGGTTTTTGGGAATCTTGCCAAGTAACTAAACCAGCTTGAGTACCTACCCAGAAACCCTAGATAAGGACATATACCTTTCAAGGTGTCTCATCGAGGCAGAACTTTCCCATTTTCAAGTACTCCAAATTTATATAAAAATAAAGACATTGTTTTGGGGTCAAAGGAACAGAGTAATCAATTTAGGTAAGCAGCAACAAAATATGTATGAAAAAATGAAAAAGTTGCCTCTTCCAGGAATTTTGGCATTGATCCATGTAACCCCCTTCCTACCCACCAGTGGGAATAAGTATTTCACACGTGAAATTTTGTCCCTTGACTGCATTTGCATAAGCCAACCCCTTACTCAACTTGTGATTTGGATCAGAAATAGCAGTTGTCGAAGTGTGCCTCTGGAGGTATATCTGTAGTCCCAAGAGAGCAGATTGCATGATTCTCATTGGAAGTATCACTGACTCATTCAGCTTCATTAAAGTGTTAGTTAGGCAGGGGGTTCTTCACTGTTGAGTTTGTATGAGAGGGGAGTGAAGAACACAAAGCACTTTAGCTCATCCCAGTAGCTCGAAAGTAACTCATTTTCCACCTGAAAGCAACAGTAACCTTCCAAATAAAATTCATTTAGTTTAGATGATTCCACAATAGTCACTAAGCAAACTCGGGTATGCAGTTTTCTATGTTAATATTTTTTTTCTTTTCATCAGTAGATGGAGTAGATTTTTCTCTCTCCCTAGCTTCTAGAGTTTTACAGGAAATGCTTCATTCTCTTGCCAGAAGTTTCTTCCATGCTCCATTGCTAAGGGATTTCATTCTTTAGTGTTGTAGAGGCATTGAGGGCAGAAGACACCCTTGTGATCAGCTTCAAATATTCAGTGGAAGTTTCTGCTGCTGATGGAATGTAAGAGCAAGGAGAGTGGTTCCTATATGCATTTTGAAGAAGTAAGAATCTTTTTGTTGATACTTACCATCATACATACTGCGCAAGGTAGAGATTCCTACCCAGGAAAAGGAACTTTTGGCTCCCATCAACAGGAGTGCGCATAAGAATAGATGACTTAATTCTAATCATGAGGCCTGAAACAACTAGACACCGTCTTTCTAACAATGATTCCAGTGCAGAAGGGTTTTTGATAGCTGTGGGGGTAACACCTAGGGAAACAATTCTAAAAAGTGGTCTCAACTGATTACTTATCAGTAGGGCTCTACCTACTACTTCAATTCAAGGAGGTGGCTGGCCAATTTTTGCAGGGGGATTGCAGGGCTGGCTGCCATTTGTGTGGCCTGATCATGGTGGGGCCCTCCAATGCCTATGGCCAATGGGCTCCAGTGGCCCCCACCCTTTGCCACTGATTGGTTGTAATGGTTGTTTGTCATGTGCCCCTGCCCTTCTCTGCCAGTTTGGTGGACATGGGTGTGGCTGAATGACAGGCAGCCCTCAGCCAATAAGCAGCGAGTGGCAGGGGCAGCAGCCACCTTGGGTTACCCTTCATACCAGCAGCCCCCCTTCTCCCCCGGTGGGTTGCATGGCTGGGCTGCAACGCCACGCGGACTGTCGCCCAGAGGGAGCCAGCATTTTATTGACAGGAAGTCTTTTGGTTTTTGGTTGTTTTTTGGTTTTGTTTTCCCCCTACCCCTGCACATTTCACAGGCAGTGCCAGAATTTAAATCTCTTGATAACCTTACTCTAGGACAAGGTTATCAAACTTATCTGGCCCCATGGGCCGGATTAGGGTCACTGCGTTGATCTGTGGGCCAGAATTGGGACCCAGACCCCTGTGCATGGCCAGTGGTACCAGATCCAGCCTGTGCACTGCCTGCAGCACCACAGCACACAGGGCTAGACTGCCTACACATGCTGTATGCAGCACAGGGAGCCAACGTAGGAGGTGCTTTGTGTGCAGTGCCCTGCTGGACTGGCCCTCTATGCTAGTCCAGCATAGCCTGATTCAGAGAGGCCCTGGAGCTAATGTGTAGGGCTGGTTCAGTGGGGGACTGCATGCAGTGTGCACCCTGGACCAACCCCAAGATGCGCAGCTCCAGGACCAGGCCACACTTTGCATGTGGCATGCAGGGCAGGGCTTGGTGCATGGGGTTAGTTCAGCGACCCATGGGCTGAATCATGGCTCCATGGACTGGATCTGGTCTGCGGCCCATACGTCTGATACCTCTGCTCTAGGAGAAATTTAATTTCTTGACTTTTGTAGGCTCATGACTTTCAAAACAATGCCTTGTTTCTCTTACATGAGTGTAAGCGTCAGCTACATGAGAAACCATGGGATGCATATAGGCCTTCCGTGGTAGATGCATACTCTATACTGTATTGTAATTTTACATCTTGGCTGCAGTATTAGGTGCCTTTAATAATCAACCAGATGCTCTTAGATGGGTCAGGCCATGCACCAGGTCTGAGTTTGATTGGAAAAGAGGTAGTTGTCAGATAACATATCCCTTGGGCTGTTGAGAAGGAAAAAAAACACCCCAGAAGCTCAACTACAGAAGTATAGGAGTTTGACTGTGTGTTTCTGAGAAAATGTTGCTATTAACTGCTGTGTAAATAGAAAGGTAATGATACGGAGTCGGGCATAATTATACTATCCCTCAGAAATAGCTTAATTTCAACATAATCCCTCTCACCTAGAATGTAGGGTGGTACTTCTTAGTCTTTCTGAACTTGTTCAATTGATGCACAATTTGAACATTATATTTGTACGCATGCATGCATGCACTTATGCATGCATGCATGTGTATGTAATCCAATATATTTATATACAGTCTGAAATGATATAATACAAGTTCCTGGATGCAAGATATTCAAAATGAAATCCTCATCCCATTCAAAGCAAGGAGAATCATCTTATTCGGTTAAACGGTGCCAAGATTCCATCCATTGCATTAATTTACTAAGAAGCCTCAAAAGCTTCATCCTCTGACTTCTGCTTCTTCTTGTCTAGTCTCCCATTTTAGAGTTAGAGAAGAACAGTAAATCCAAGCAAAGCCTGAATACAATTTAGTAATGTTAACTTCAAACTACATTTTATTGTTGTTTGTGATTAAAAGCAGAACTGAGGGCTTAACTACTTCTCATTGAAGATCCCCAAGCTTTTTAGGTAAAAATAGGTCAGATTTAAACTCAGAAAGTTGTTCTTTCTTACATTCTGCAAGTAGTTTCAATTGGAATGAATTTCCTTCACATTTTCTGTGTTAAATTGTTGCATGCTTGTGATTTGCTCTAAAATAACTGCTGTGTTCTCATCAAGATTGTTGTTCTCATTGGGTTTTTTTAATGGTGTGGGATGAATTATTTGCTTGTTATCATGCCTCTTGTCAAAGTAACTCAGGAGTTTCCAATACTTCAATTACTGTATGACTTCTAGCACCAAATGCACAAATAAAGGGTAGCACTAATAATAGTCCTAAAGAGTCCTTGCTTTTTGTCATACTATCTCCTTTCTCTTGCACTCACCTTTGCCCTCAGACTATGGGAAAATGTAAAATCTTTGCTGGAATTTGTAAAGTGGTTTTGAAAACCCTAGAAATATATATAGGGCATGCTCAATTCTATCACAGTGGTCATAGTATCAGGACCTTGTTGTATAGATCACTGTCAAATATAAGATCCTTTTCCTATTGTTTGGTCTCCATGCTTTTCTTCCTGTTAGCTTGCAGTCATACAATATGGCTACTTTTAGGTCACCCATTTAATATTCATCAGCTGTACTGTGATCAGGATGCATTCATGTCAAATGTGAGCTAATGTTGTAACTTATACTTATTATTTTAAAGCCAACACTATAAGGCAGATGGAATGTAGCAGAAATCTTCTCTATCCTGTTTTGACTTACTGAAAGTTTGCCCCATAATAAGCAAATGCACAGTGTGTTACCAATTTTCTGTTTACAGTAAATATTTTCTACCTGCTGCAGTAGATAGTAATAATTCTGCCCTTATCTGACTGCATATTCACAAATGCATCAGAGTATCGGTGCTGTGTTTTTGAGGGGTTTTTTTGCTTTTGCTTAGCTTCAAACTTGCTTGCCATAGTAGAAAATCAATCAAAAAATTTAATGAGTCTCATCTGAGATTTTAAAAGGAAAGGAAGTAAATGGAATGAAATAGACACAGAAACAAATCAAATGATAATGATGGAATACAATCTTATCTCTTTTTCTACCTATTTATAAAAGCAAAGGACTTTAGGAATTTGTATTAGAAGTAGAGTTTGTTCAAGAATCATTTCCCACCCCCCACACACACCCCTTATTTACATGTGACAATTGAGACCTTTTTAAAGAAATGCTCATTTAATTTGCAAACATTAAGAGAATTAAAGCATTCAGTTCATTCCAGTTGCCACAAATTTCACAGCTCTTGAATATCTGCTGTGCTTAAGACTGTATATGATTTTATGAATAAGTGTAAAAGCAGCTTGTGCTGGTGAATTTGAAGCAGCTATGAGCACTAGTTAAGTAATTTGTAATTAAGAGTGTGATCAAACTGAAAACTCCCTAGATTTGGGAATGTTTAGATCAATTTAGGAAACCCAGAGGTTCCTGGCTAGAGGGTCTTGCTTTTCTGCTCAGGGTCACATTGATCAACAAATTTGGGGTCAAGAGAGAATTTTTCCCTCATGTCAGATTGGCACAGATACTGTGAGGTTTTTCCTTCCTCTGTGTTTCGGCTCATGGTCCTTTTTTTCTAGATATCTACTGAGCATATATTAACCAGCAACTTTCCCGTTGTTGCAGTGCCAGGGCACTGGCAGTACTCTGCCTTTATAGGATACTCATGGTGTTTCATGTATTAGGCTCTGTAGTATGTGATGTAAGTAGCAATTTTGGAGATTCCTTGGGTTAACGATTCCCTAAGAATGTAGGAAACTTAGTTGCTTGACCCCTTCCTGTCCTATATTTTAAAAAACTTAACCCTGTAGCATACCTACTGTTTTAACAGAAGCAATTTTCCTGGGGAAAATATATAGACTGAGAGGTAAGTGTAGTGCTTCAAATGCTCTGGCATTCTAGTATTCCTTTATTTTTTTGTGATCATATGTTGACCAGAACTCTTGTTTTTTGTCAACTACATGTTACAATTGACACTTGATTTCCTGCCCCCTTCCTCCCCCACACACATTTTAAGGATTTTTCTTTCATATTACCTGCCCGTTCATTAAGGAAAAGCTACAGTTATTGCTGTCGCATACCAACCCACAATTTGAAAGCCCTTTGTACTTTTGGTGACTTCTTCACCAACAAGATCTAGTTCAGACAGGCTCTCGGTGCTACAAACATGCTAGACCTAGGCAGTGCCACAGCTAATCAAACCCACAACACATGTTAACTAGTCCCAGCTGCCCAGGGAAAGTACACCATCCTGGTGTATTTTTCCACCTCTAACTTTCAGAGAGAAGCAAGGCAACTGATGTCTTCAGCCTCTGGTAGTTCTTGTTACTATCCCAAAGACTCCTGGAGCTTGGGAGCATGTCATCACTCCTTTTCTGGAAGAGACATTTGGCTAATAGTGAAGAGCAGATGTTCTTGGCAGAAGATGGGCCTGATTTGATTCATTCTCTGGACAGGCGTTGTAACATTAATGCTGGTGGCTCAGCAAACTATAAATGTGGAGAGGAAAAGAGGGGGAAGAATGAATGTCTAGCAACTTATGAGAGCTTGGATTATTTACCTTCACACAGTGAAGCTTACAAGAAGTGGCTACAGGAGAAAGCATACAGGTAATAATGCCCCATCCCTTGGGCCAAGCAGTCCAGTTTTCTACATTCTCAGGGTAGTAAAAATATGTATCAACCTTATTACCTCTAAACAGTGTGGAAGTTGATTGATTGACCTTGATTATCATTGATAAGTACGTGAATTTTGTAGCGCTTCCCAGAATGTAAGGTTTTCAACAGTGCAAAGTAGGGAAAGAAGTCTGTTTTACTCAAAAGCTGTTCCTATCGTAACCCTTGGGTACCTCAGAGAAAATAGATTAATCTCCTGAGAGAAATAAAATAGTATTCCTACATTACATGTGGGAATGAGAGTAGAGAGAGGGTGTGCCTAAGGTAGCACATAACATTTGTATCCTAACTCTTGATTGCTACTCAGGTGAGCTGTCTGGCAAGTGGCAGTGAGTTAAATAGATTTGAAGATCATACTATGGAAAAATCCTTCATTTGTTGGTTTGGTGGAAGGAGGTTTTGTGGTGTAAACCCTAGACTGATCATCAGAAAATTAGGCTTCTTTTTTCTAGTTCTGGCTTCTGCCATGTCTGTTGGACCTAGAATACTTTCTCTGTGCCTCTTAGTATTCCACAAGATGAGGATTTATTCCTCTTTTGTCACCGTGGTGCCAAGAGACTGTTTACTAATGTTTGCCAAATGAACTGAGCTTGTTTGAGTGAAGATGATGTAAAATTCTAAAGTATTATTCAAAATAAAATGACAATGTTGTGCTTGTGAGGGCTGCCTGCAAAAAGGAGGGGTGAGAGTATAAAATAATCAATACAATACAGCTGAAATTATTGTACAAGACTAATTGGAAAACTGTACACAAAGAGAAGTAATCAATGGTTCACTGTCATACTAGAAGGAATTATCATATGAGGTTCAGGGGTGGTCTCTCATGGGTCAGTGCAATTCATTCTTTTCATTAATGACTTGCATCATGGACTGGAATATACTGTTAAATGTTCCAGATGAGACCATACTGGGAATGGTTGCAAACTCTTTGAAAGACGGGATCAGCAGTCAAAATGATCTTGAAAAACTGGAAAGTACTACATTTAGTAGGAATAATCAACTGAACAAAAACACCGTTGGGAGCAATTGACTAGATGGCAGTTCTTCAGAAAAGGATGTTAAAGTTGCAATGGATCATGAATTGAAAAAGTCAATAATGTTTATACTATTTTGGAAAAAAATGCAAACATTACACTGGGGTATAGGAGAAATGATTTTGAAAGGGATGTTAAGTAACTCTTCCATTTCACACACCAGAGGAAAGACCTCAATTGTATACTTGCACTTCATGAAAGATGTGGACCAACTGAAAGTACAGAGGAGAGCAACAAAATTAAGATGCCTGGAAAATGTGCTCTGTATGGAAATATTGTGCAAGCAGTAGATTTGCCTGATCTAGAGAAGAGGAGACTGAGGAAAGTCATGATAATCTTTAAATTGGTAAAAAGTTACTACAAAGAAGGAAGTAATAAACTATTGGTTGTATCTACTGTGGGGTAGGATAAGGAGTAAATTACAGCAATGGAAATGTAGATTGCACATTAGGAAAAAAAATCTGGAAGGATAATTAAGCACTAGAATAGATTACCTCAGCAGATTGTGTAGTCTCTGTCATTGGGGCTAGGTACAGACATTCAAAAAAGCCAGTGTAGAATTGATCTAAGTTATGCAATTTTTCTGTAAGCAGTGTAGTTCAGATCAGTAGTGAACAGAACACGCATCTACTCTATGGTGGTGGTGGGGGGGCAATCTTAGATCAGGTTCTGCCATTTTAAAACCAATTAGTGTGTGCCGAATATCTGTTCTGTTATGGGTATAAACTGGTTTTATGTGCCAAGCTTCTGTTCTGTTACAGGTATAGACCAGTTTCCAATCACTTATACCAGTGAAAGTATAATGTCGGTACCTGGCCTGAAGGTTCTTGAGAACAGGTTGTACAACATCTATCAGAAATGGTATAAGTTAGTCGATCCTACATCAGTGCATGTAGATGGACAATATGACTGCTTGAGGTCCTTTCTATTAGGGCTGTGTGAAGCTTCAGTCCCTGATTTGATTCAGCAGAGATTTGGCCTGATTTGGTGGCCGAATCTCTGAGTCCGAATTGAATCAGGAGACCCTCTAATCTTTCCGAATTGAATCGGAGCCCTCTGAATTGATTTGGAGAGATTTGGAAAGATTCGGCGATTTGGACATAGAAAAAACATTTAAAGCTATGTCTACATACCTCAAGGTACCCGGTGGGTCATGAATGCTGCAATGGTGGGGTTGATGGAGTGTCCCACCGGAGGGGGGACTCCCAATGTGCTCGGCAGCAGACCCGGAAGTGGACCAGAAGCACTTCCGGCCCACTTCTGGGTCCACTGGGGAGTGTGCTAGGGTCCACCCCCCCACTCCCCTAGCTCGGTGACTCGTGCCTCCTGGGTCTGGGAGGGCACTCGGGGTCCCCCATGGCCGATTGCTGAGCCGGGGAGGAATGTGGGAGGCCCCCTGCGCACTCGGCGGCAGACCCAACTTCCAGGCCGCTTTTGGGTTTGCCGCCAACCACGTGTGGGGGGGGGCCACTCATGCTCCTGTGGGACGCTCCATCCACCCCAGCATTGCAGCATTCACGAGCCATGCCTGGTACCTCGAGGTATGTAGAAAAAACATTTAAAGCTGTGCCTATGGCCGAATTGCTAATTCTCTGAATCAGCATCGAATCTTTAGATTCAGCTTTGGCTGATTCGAATCGGGGAAAGTCAGCTGAATCAATGAATCGAATCGCTGTCCCCATTTGGGTTGAATATGAATAGAATATGGCCTATTTCGCACACCCTTACTTTCTATCCCTATTTCTATGATTCAATAATCAGAGGGAGGCAACTGAGTAAACAACTTTTTACTAAAATCATTTCCTTAAAGTGTTCATACTTTTGATTCTGATGCATATAATGAGCAAAGAAATAGTGTTGTAACTCATTGTTCAACTTGTACAATTTGGAAGGAAAAGTGGTATTAAAGACCTTGTAAGGAATCTTTGGATAGTCTTTTCATGAAAATTGCTTGAAAATACTTGGTGTATTCTAAAAGCAAAAAATGGCCTCTTCTGCAATATTATACAATCCTGAAAGTCAGTAATATCTGATGGTGAGGTTTTTAGCAGTAAATGATTCCTTGCATATACCAGGGATTGTTACTTATACATAATTAAAGACGAGCTTTATATCTGAGACTTCTACAAACTAGAGACAAAGACACTGTTTTCTAGGACACAGGTTGAATCAATGCATTTAGCTAAAACAGAAAGAGAGTGACTGATTATAGCAGCCTGTAATGGCCTCATAAGGAGCTACTGTTACTATTCAGGACTACCACTTAAAACAAACAAAAAAAATTGCCCATGAGGCTTTGGAATGCAAATGTTAACTCAACAACATGAGACTGATAGCTGAATTTTATCTGCCTTATTACCCCTCATTAAGCTGAACTGGAAGATTCCAACAAACACCCATTCAAGACAGCAACTTAGGTCTATTGGAGCAACTGCTTAGGTCTATTGGAGGGAGGTTTCAGTGCTACCATTCCTCGTGGCTCCAGGAAAAGGCAAGATCTGAGAATCTTTTCTGTCACTTCTATCCCGGACAAGGTTTTTTAAAACTGGTTTTACTGAATTTGATCGCTGTGATGTGATCTCAGTTCAATTTGCAGGTGTCTCCACTCCATATTGCTTCATTACATTTGATGCTTGTCAACAGTCCATGCATCTTACAGCAGTGGCCAAGTGCTAAAATGACCTGAAGATCTGGCCTATGGGTAGAGTTGGGGCACCCTGCAGAAGTGGGTGGAAATACTTGTATTGCCAATGCTCTTGCTAAAATTGTTTTGTGGGACACCAGATTTCATCCTTGATTCATTGTCAGCATTGGACCTTCACTATAGAGGAAGAACAGCCACCTACTGCATTCTTTTCTTAGTGCTCAGACATAGAAGTACAAATTTTCAACCCTTAATTTTAACAGCTTTTGAGATCCTTCTGTATGTAGCCTACTCCAGGGATGGGCAAAAAATGGTCCATGAGCCAGATCCAGACCACCAGCTGACTGGTCCTGGCCCATAGCTTCCTCCACAGAATGCCATGGCTGCTACGGGGGCAGCTGTGGACCACGTCACCCAAGTGAGCTATGCTGCATGTGCCCCTTGCCTCCTTCTCCCTCCCCTCACCCCTGGCTGGCTCCCTGGAAATAGCACCCAGGCAGCCCCTCCCCACACCCCACAAATACCTCCCCACCCCCTCACAGGGCAGGGCATGCAGAGAGCCACTCCTGAACACTATTCCCACCCATCCAAAGCCCCAAAGGGAGTTTTTATAGAGTTTTTGTGCAGATGGTGGGGGAGGGGGCAGGGGGACCTGTGGTGACCCAGCCCTCAGCAGCTCATCAAAATGCCCTTGGGCCCAAATAATTGCCCTTTCCTGGTTTACGCCCACATTTATGCATAAACGTCTGTGCAAACACATATTACAAAACATATGGATATGTTACTTTGCAGTAACACTAATTAGTTTCATTAGCAAATGGAACCAATTTCCAGTAGAAGCTCTATCTTTGTACTTGCTTGTAGTTTCCTACTTGATACAGGTGGAAACGAGAGACGTCAGGTTTCTATGTTTTGGCCTCTTGCAATTTTATGATTATAATAAAATTAGACATAAAAGAGGTGTACCTACTTGTTAGATGAACCACACTCAGCTCTACAAAAGGCTAATGGTACTCTTCCATTTTTAGAACTGACTGGGATCGATGGCTGTTGATGGGGCTAATTGGAATAGGAGTGGGAATGCTGGGATTTCTGACTCATCAGATAATTGACTGTCTCATCAAATTGAAATGGAAACTGGTAGAAAATTACCTTCAGGTGAGCATAAAAAGAAAATATTGATCTTTTCTCTTCATTACACTTTTCTGGGAGATAGGATAATCAAACTCCATGAACATGAAACTTTTACCTGACTGTTGGCACTGTGCTTCCAGGTTGGTTTGAAGGTGAATTTCTACTTAATAGCATTTTTACTCAGTAATTACTTACCTTAAGAATGTGTTCTTAATGGCTTGGATGAAGCATGTGCTGCATCACTGGGAAACATAATATCTGAAGCACAGTACATGATAAGCAGCTGGCTTTGCAAAGCTTCTGAATGTACAGACAAGTCTTTGATAGATAAGATTTTATTGCACTCTGCTTGACCAATACAGATCCCAATAAAGAATGTTATGAAGCTATTTCTTTTGAATCACTGTCCCAAAGACTTATTTTCTAGTAGCCAGATCTTTTAAATGATTTTTCCAACTTGCCTTGGAAAAAAGGAAACACTTCTCAAGCCTGTTGGTGTACTTCTGCGCAATTGTAGGCCTACTCACATGCATGGTCAGTTTTGGTCACTACTCACAGAAAAAATTCATTATCAATGGAATGTGTTGCTGGTCTGCAGACCTGGATTTGAATTGTAGCCAGAAATTGGAACTAAATATGAATGCACCTAATGTAGCAGATTGACTTAATCCACACACAACTGTGTTGGACTGGGACTCGCCAGACCTGCATACTATCCTTGACTCAGTACCTGGACTGCTGGATGATGTTGGGCAAGTCATGTCACCATTCTGTTCCTTAATTTCCCCTTCTGTAAAACAGAGAGGATAACATTTACCTACTTCGGGAAGAGTTTTGATTTTAACTGATAAAAATATACAAGATCCAGCTGTTATCAAAAGGAAGTAGGGGTGGATTATTATATTATTATAGGCCCATGATTCAGGTTGCAATGCTTAAGTTTCTGCAATCACAAGTATACATCCTGAGGAAGACTTACCTGGTCTCAGTCTCTGGGGCAAATGAACTAAGTTGGCACTTTGCTGTGGGTCTTTTGGATGACACGTTAGGAACCTGAGTTCTTTGCATGTCAAACTTCCAGTGGTACTTTGTGTAGGTTTGCTTGGGGGCCACTTTACCAGAACTTAATGTGTATATGTGTGTGTATATGTATGTTTGTGTATATATTAAGTTCTGGCAAAGTGGCCCCCAAGCAAACCTACACACATTACCATTGGAAGCTTAACATACAAAGAACTTGGATTCCTTTAAATAAATAAATAAATAATTAAATAAATAATAATAATAATTGGGCATCAATCTATCTGTGGTATTTTGGTGGGGGGAGCGAAATCCTGAAATAGTTTTTAAAAAAGGGTAAAACTATGGTTAAATAGCTATATATTTCTTTAAAGTGTGTTTTCAGGGTTTTGTTGAGAGTCATTTTTGTGTGAGGAGAGAACTTTCATCTAAAATAATAACAGAAAAGTAGGGGCCTGGAAGGTCATCTAGAGTTCAGCTATTTTTAATTTTTTGGTTTGAAAGTAGGGAGTTAAGTAGGAGAGAGTGGCAAAGTTCACCTGATGAACGGGAAAAGAAGCTTGGTGGTGGTTGGATCCTCTCGAACTCATAGTTAGGAGGCTCACCAGCAGAGAACTCAGTTCTGTGCACCTCACCAATTTTGCTGAGTAAGCCTTAAAGTAAGCCTGTGGACAAAAGACCTGACATAAGGTGTGGACAGGAATGCTTCAGTGGTCTGCTTTACCACAATGGTTTTGAAAACAGAGGCGGCCTCTTTGACTTGAATGCATGGTGAATCACAGTAAAACACCACGGGATTGTGAAAGATGTGGTAGCTGGTGTTTTTGTGATGTTCTTGTGTGTCCTGTGTGGTGTTCTTGTGTCTCTGAAGACAGCATGACTGTGGTTAATCCAAATTCAGACAAACAAACTTAAACTCTGTCAGACTGATGTGTTTTTTTAAAACAAAAAGACTGAAACATAAAATATGTCACTTTTATAGAGGAAAAACAGAGGAGCTCTATAGATGAGTTTGCAGCTAGTATTAACGGATAAAACACGACAAGATGAATTGCTGTAGAAATATATTCAGGCCTAATTTATGAAAGTGTTTCTCTCAAGTACTTAACGACATACTTGAGACCTTTGACTCCAGTGCTTAGTACTGAGGCCTCAATTAATAATAAAATACCATGATTGGCAAACTGGTTTGGGAAAAAATAGGAAGTTCTCTGAACCTGTACTCTTATCTAAAAGCTAGACTTTGAAACTTATATCTTGTGAAGAGTCTGCAAAACTGTCTTTATTTTATTCCCTGGTTACACTTCTATATGCTAAATTGTAAAACTTGCTATAGTGTATTAAGAGAGAAAATGGGCAAAAGGATGCAGTAGTTTCTCGATTTTGCTAAGAGGTACATTCGTGACAAGAAAAGCGCACACAGTGGCCAAGCAGAAAAATTTGAGGCTTATGTTATTAATGCATAATCTCAGACAAAAAAAATAGTATGAGTATCTCTCTTCCTCTTTACCACTATATACAGTTAGCAGGGCACATACTTGTGTTTGTTACCACTGATTATCTTAATTTATTTGTAAAACTATCAGAATGGAAACTTTCACATGACCTGGATTTGCATACTTGGATCTGGACTGGCCATGATTGTTGTATCTTCAGGATTTGTGGTGGTAAGTATTAAGCTTCTTATACAACTACTGTAAAATGTGAAATAGTTCCAGGAAATGAAAGATGCTGGGATGCTGGGATCCTTGCAATGCTGGGATCAAAGCCCTTGTTTGATCCTTAGGGCCACGTCCACATGAGCCTGAACGTTTGGCTCCCCAGGGACACCTGGCGCATGGCAAGTTACCCCGGGTGGAGTAGGAGAGACTGTGGCTTGCACTGGGCTGGTTCCAGCAGCCTTATCTGGGTTTCCTGGGGGCCTCCTGGGGGTGCAGCAGTGGCAATCCTGCTGCTTGGAGCCTGGCTGGCAGCCAGACTGTGGCTTCAACCAGCTAGGAACTGGTTTTCAGCAGTGCACACTGCCCTCGTGTGGGCCCCTCTAATTTTTTTTTTGCATGGGCTTTTTTTGACCCCTGGATATTCAGGGCCAACTCCCCATGCTGCTCCCTTGAAGTGCAGAGAACAGCTGAACATGTAGTATATGGCACTGCAGATGTGTCTGTGGCACCACATGCCTCACGGCCATGCTCATCTGGATGCAACCTATCTATCTTTCTGTTGTGCCTTCAAATGCCACTGTAACTAAGGTTCTGCCAATATGTCCTATAATTTCTGTGTGATAGGCTATTGGGGCAGGAGTTCCTGGTTTTGATATTCATCTGTGTAGGCAGATGCAACTTCTGTAGATGCCTCTGGGGCAAAATCAGTGAGGATATAAATAGCTGGGTAAGTTGTACCCAAGAGCAAGCCCAGGGTTGGGGCCAGTGGCTGGGTTTTCCTATCCCCAGGGCTGTGCAGGGACGTTCCATGTACTGGTTTGACCTAAATCAAATGAGTCTGATACTACATAAATCCAGGCTTATCTTAAAGTGGGTTCTGCAGTTTTTAGATCAGTTTGTGTGCAAGTAACTTCTGTTCTGTTACAGGTTTAAACTAATTGCTGGTCACTAAGACCAGGTCTGTTAAGTGTAAGGTCAGCACCGGGATGAGCTAAGTTTAAATTGGGTGGTCATTTTGAACCGAATTTAACCTCCCAAATGTCTGTACTTGGCCCAACTGTATATGGATCATAAAATGGGAAATTGGTGCAACTTCCACAGGCGTGGTGTTCAGAAAAGGCCTTTCTCAGATTCCAAGGTGAACACAGTGAGTTATCATCAGTTTAACTGCAAAAAGGCAAGTAACTCTCTAGGGCAGGAGCGTCAAACTACCCTGGACCTTAGGCTGGATATGGACCATAGGCGCTCCTCCCAGGCCAGATTCCTGGAGCCAGCAGCAGCTGCAGTGGATCTGGGTCTGGGGCCAGTGGCAGTTCTGGAAACACCTGTCCACTTGGGTCAGGCTTAGAGTGACATCACAGGTAGGGGAGTGGGTCAGGGACCAGAGTGGACAGCAATGAGGGTGGCTGAGTGTCTGGCAGCATCAGTGGGTGAGAGGCCAGCAGTACCAGTAGGGGAATGGGTGGCAGCCCTTGTCCTGGAACAGGCAGCAGTGTGGATCCGAGGGTGGGTGGCAGTGAGGCAAGCAAGAACTGTATCTGCACAGTTGTTGCTTGCCCCCTGCTGCTGATGACAGTGTTCACCAGGGTCCAGGGACCCTGAATTCTGCAGCAGGGTACAGTCCTGTGGCCATATCTCCTAACTTCTTTGTAAGACTTTAGACCACTTGTGTACCTTGTGAATGAAGCTTTTTCAGCTAGAATTCTAACACGCTGATTGATCTGAAAGTGTTTAGAAGTAATCCTTAATTCTTTCTCTTTTTTCAGTTCTTTTGCCCAGCAGGTGTACCATGTGGACTACCAGAAGTCATTGGGTTTCTGAATGGGGCTTCTATCCAACATATTTTTAATATCAAGACTTTTCTGGGAACATTTGTGTCTTGTGTGTTAGCTGTGGCATCTGGACTCTTTTGTGGACCAGAGGGCCCTATGATTCATTTGGGGTAAGAAACACTGTGGAAATGTTGGAGCTGTTAGGGCCTGCTTGTCCATTAAGTTGCATCTTAATTATTTACTCCTGCTCGAAGTAGGTATAAAATTTAACCAATACAAATTGTTCTTTCACATATATGGTGCTTTTTTATATGAGCTTGGCACAGGTCTAAATAACTGCACAAGTTGAAAGGCAATGGGCAATCAGGCCCTCAGACTTTAATCTTCCAAGATTACGCCCCGTTTTACTCCCTTCCCCTCACTTCCCTGCTGTAAAACTGGTTATGGTCAACAGTGACCAAATCCATTGATCTAAACTATTTTTCTTTGCAAGCATACTTTTAAGTTGCGAGGTGGGGTCATATTTATGGGTAGGAAAATAATTGAATATATTCAGGGGTTTCCAAAGTTTTTATGCTGCGGCCCAGCAAACTGTGGCCCGGAATTGGCCGTGGCCTGGCAAACCGCTGCCCAGCAGTCGCAGCCAACCGTGCCCAGAATTTCCAGCTAGAAGACAGGTAAGGATACCCCCACCCTGGGCGGGACAAACCCTGCGCTGCCACGGGACTTGCAGAAGGAGCTGCGACCACTTCCGGTCTGGCAGCTGACTGTGCTATGGGCCGGCAGCTGATCCGCTGTGGCCCAGGGATTGAGAACCCCTGGAATATATATTCTTGCTTAAGGAAGCATTTGATTAATTCCACCGCCCCTCTTTAAATAAAAGAGAACACACAAACGATATCCAAGTCCTTCTGTCATGTTTCTGGGCGAGCAATCATTTCCTTCATTTATTTTTATGAGACGAGTTTTCCATATTTAAATAGTGTCTTGATTCAAGAGGTTAGAAATGGGTTCCCTCTTTTCAGATAGTCTATTTCTTTTCTAGGCAGCTTAGCATTTTACTTCTTATCTCTATTTTTGGGTAAAATATTCAGTTTTGAGGGTTGGTTCTTCCTCTTCAATCTCTACCAAGCAATACACTCCTTTCTACCACTTTGTACATTTTCCTTGTATGTAGGTGCAGTAGCCTGGAAAAATGACTAAGGTTTAAAAAAACAAAAAGAGAGCAAGATTTAGTCAGTGGTGGCCACAAACTTTTCAGACAGTCATTACCAAGGCCTAGCTCTCTTTTTGGGTTTCCTTTGTTTTCATTACTTTCAGACTTTTGTCTCCAAGAGGTTGGTGCCTGCAGCTGTGATTTTTTTTTTCCTTTGTGTGTGTGTCTTTGTTTATTTTTAACCATGACAGATGGTCCAGAAATGTCACCAGACTTACATAAAGACAGCTGGTGCAGCATTAATTTGATGCTTTGAAATACAGAGTTAAGAATTAAATTAATTGAATTTTCTGAACAGCACCTACCTTAATTATGCATAAACACGCACAACAGTTTAAAAAAAAACCTCAGCCAGTTTAGCTGTGGCCTGAAATTTAAATTTTCTACAATGCATTTAACTCTTTTCCTGACTTGTAAAATGTTCATGAAAAGAGGGTTTCCTCTACCTTCCCCTTCCGTCCTTCCTTCCTTCCATCCTTCCTTCCTATGTAGTTCTGAAACACAGCCTAGAAAGTATGGTGGTAATTGAAATCATTATACAACTTCCACTGAGAATATAACTGTTCTGCTCCCAGTGGTCATTAAACTGGGACTGATGACTAAAATGATGGATTATAATTCATCATGTAGGCACATTTAGGCAGATAGTAACATACAGCTCATCAAAGTAGCCTTTATGGCTTATCATCGTTGTGAAGAGCCCTTTTAATCTCTGAATTATTAACCTGAAAGGTTTTAATAGTCTCCCATGTCAACAGAACATTGTATATTTTAAAGCTAATATGTTCTGCAGACCCTGTATTAGATTTGTTGATGTCAGTCTTGCTTTGTTGCTCCATGTCCGCTGAGGACCTGGCCATTTTAGTTTTGACTTCAGTTGCTGTGTGAATAATTTTTTTAAAGACTTCACTAATTTAAAAAAATGCTTTTTCAGTGCAATAATAGGTTGCGGTCTGAGCCAGTTGAAGTCAGATACTCTGGGAATTCATCTCCCCTTCTTCACAAGGTTTCAGAATTCAGCTGATAAGTAAGTGATTGACGGAATATAATTGCTAAGCCTTTGAAGACACAGGTACCACATTCTGATTCTCATAGCAGATGTGTTAAGCTGCTAATCAAATAGCTATGAGTTAATAAAGTTATGGAACATTTGGTCTAATAATGTTCTAGCTTCTTGGATGGTTATAGAAAGAAAGTATCTCTTTCTGTATGAAGGTATGAATGCGACTCAAGTATATTCCATTAGAAAGGGATCTCTTCCTTTCCCAGTGATTTTTTTTTTTAATAGCTGAGCTCTGCTGGGCTGTCCCTTGTGGAGATCTGTTAAAACAATGTCTGTGTAATAGTTATGTTGAATGTTTATGAAAACTTTTAATTTAACACTTTGAGACTAATTCTCCATTGCCTTGTACCTCCTATTGACATTTCCTGTACATTTATGTAAAGTGGGTATAAAGGCCTAGACTTAAATAATTTGGACAAAAGTTTCAACTCAAATAGCTTTCAGACCTGCATATTTTTTCAGTTCTGATTTATACTGCAGATCCCAAGATGTCAGTTTATTCCGTGCTGCATACATAGAAGATACAGGCTTGTGGGCTTTTTCCCTCTCTGCAAAAAAGGAGACTGTATATACTTCCTTAAATTCGAAGGTCTTCTGTATATGTCCTGGATGGATCTTCCAAATCCAGTCTTGAGAATAGTGTCGTTGAACTCAGTGAAATTCATTACATCAGTAATGATTTAAAAGGTCAAATTATGTCTTGCAGATGCTGCTTATTGGCTTATAAAATACATAAATGCAAAACTGTAGTGTTTGTTTGGTTTCCAAGGAAAGGGAGAAATGGGGTGAGGGGAACCTCTCATCTAAGCAAGAAAAGGCTATCGTGAACTATTTGTGGCTTAAAGGATAATCATAAAGCACAGCTCGAAAGATATGTGATATGCTTTTGTCTTTAACTTTTATCATCAATCACTGAAATACATTTAAGACAAGCTTGTTAAACAAACTTACTCATGGAAGAAATTAGTGATTACTGTAAGAGGAACAGCAAAAGATTTTGCTTTTTGTTTTGTAGTACAATATGAGATAATTAGAGGGAACAGTTAACTCTGAGACTGGAAAAATCTTGGGAGAAACATGTCCTCTAAAAATCCTGTTTATAAAGAAAGGATTAAGTCTAAGCAATGAGCAAGACTTGGCTCCTCCTCTGTGTTGTCATCTCATAAGGAGAAGGATGGAGAAGGCACCTATTTCTCTGGTATTATGAAGGCAGTAAATGGGCTTATTACTATCTCTACTATTGTTCAAAGTAAATATCATTGGTATAAAAGCAGTTTTGTGTAGATGTAAGGATTTTTGGGGATATTTTTAATGGACCATCTATGTAGGTAGGATAGCTGTTGGACAAGCTTTTGGGCATCAAGTACCCTTTTAAGTTTTTAATAAGTATTCAAAATATTAAAGAATCTTGTATCCTGGATTTCAGTGGTCAACACTTGCTAATGTCAGAGAGAGGCCCAAGTCCTAATTTGTCACATTAACTGGATTGGTCATGATTACTGGTGGCTAAGCATATAAACTCATGAATGCACTGGCGGTTACCACTCAGAGCAGTTTCAGTGTATAGGTATATTAAAAACATGTTAAAATCTTAAAGTTTCAAAATCAAGCAGTCAACAGTGAGAAAATGCCAGATTTAAGGCTGTTGTAGCCTTTGTTCAGTCCCATGTGCATTATAATGCAGTCTAATTAAATGGTCACATACTGTTTTTTGCCCATAGGACCCCTGCCATATTCCATGTTGCCTGGTGGATGGTGCTCAATCAATAAGCAGCTACTTTGATGTTTGGTTTTGAACAAAGGGGATCATGTGTGCTTGGACCCATGCACTAATTATTGCATGCTATGCTTACCTTACTTTGCTTATGTTTCTCAGTGTGCTTCTCTGTGGTCCGTATACTAATGGAATCCAAATGTTTCACAGACATTCCTGGACCCCTAAAAAGTGACATTAACCCCATTTAATATGGGGGATTTCCTAGATTGTAAGGCTAGTAGAGTATTAGATCACTTAGTTTACCCCCTGTATCTCTTCAGACATTACTTTTAACCTAGATACCCCATACTGAGACTAATAAATTATGTCTGCATAAAGCATTCCCTTCAAGAAAGGCATCCAGTTTCTATCTGAAGGCATGAAGAGATGGAGAGTCTATCACTTACCTTGGTAGCTTGCTCCAATGGTTAGCCATCCTCACCTTTTAGCATTTGTGCTTAATTCCTAATTTGAATCTCCCTTTTGCTTCCACCCATTAATTCTTGTTATGCCTTTACCCATTAGATTAAAGAGCCCTTTAGTACCTCGTATTTCCTACTTATCAAGGTACTTATCCCCTATAATTAGGGTGACCGTAAGGAAACATAAGACAACCAGGGGCAAGCAGGGACATGGGCACAGTCTGGTGGGGAAGTGGAATTGCCTGCTGCACTATGCCACCCTGATGCTCTGCTGGACTGTGCCCCATGCCCCTGCAATTCTGGGACTCTCATTTTAGTTTTTACCATCTGGCTGTGACTGGCCTTTGAAATTTGGGACATATGGTCAGCCTACCTACAATCAATTCACCCCTGAGGCATCTTTTTGATAAGCTTCATAGATCAAGCTCTTTCCACCTCGCACTATAAGCATTTTCTTCAGTCTTGAATCTTTGTGGCCATTTTCTCTGTCTTTTCCAGTTTGTCCTTTCATCCTCAGTATTTACCTTTGTGTCTTTGTGCTACCCAATATTTGGTTAGTACCGAGAGATGAAAGTTGAAAGGATCCACTAATTTGGAATGAGATGCTGCAGTGACTTTTTTTTTTCAGCAATTGGTTTGCATTTCATTGAATTGAACATGTTCACAGGGCTACTCTTATTGACTTCAGTTGTAGTTGAGAGATCTCACCACTTTTGCAAATCATTGTCAGGAGGCTCAAGTTGATAACCCAGATAATGAAGAATATGCAGCTAGTTACCATTTCTGAAAAGTTTGACATATGTGACAGTATGTGGTTGTGTAATAAAACACTATTATAATACAAGGTAACTGGGTCAAGTTAACTGGTAACCTTAATTTTATCTCTATTTAACTTTGAGTGTTTGACTTGGGCCGCTAATGCGGGGATGCAGTCAGGAAGGCTAACCGCACCTTGTCATGCATCCACAGATGCATCGCGAGTGGGTCCAACAAGGTGATCCTCCCCCTCTTAAATGACATTGGTAAGGCTGGAGTTGGAGTACTGTGTCCAGTTCTTGGTGCCACACTTCAGGAGGGATGTGGACAGCATGGAGAGGGTCCAGAGGAGGGCCACTTGCATGATCATGGGGCAGCAGGGTAGGCCGTACAAGGAGAGGCTATGAGACCCGAACCTGTTCAGCCTCCACAAGAGAAGGCTGAGAGGGGATCTGGTGGCCATCTATAAACTGGCCAAAGGAGACCAGTAGGCAATGGGAGAGTCCCTGTTCTCCTGAGCACTACCGGGAGTTACAAAGAATAACAGCCATAAGCTGACTGAGAGTAGGTTCAGGCTAGACATCAGAAGGCATAACTTCACAGTCAGGGTGGCTAGGATCTGGAACCAACTTCCAAGAGAAGTGGTGCTCGTTCCTAGCCTGGGGGTCTTCAAAAGGAGGCTAGACAACCACCTCGCTGGGGTCGTTTGACCCCAGCATCCTTTCCTGCCATGGCAAGGGGTTGGACTTGATGACCTGCTCAGGTCCCTTCCGACCCTACCAACTATGAAACTTTGAAATGTTAATCTTTTAATACAGTTTTTAATGTGTAAGTTCCAACTTTTTTAAAAGCAAACTGAAGGCAAAGAGATTATCATGTTAATCCATATCAACTCCCACATGGCTCTTCAACATGGTTTGAATCCTCAGATTCACAGCACAGACCTCTGCCACTTGAGCAAAGAGAGTTGCCCGAGAAAAGTGGAAGGTTGTTGCCCTCCTTGTGCTAGCCACTAGGGGCCCTTGTACATGTACTCGGCATTCAGTATAAATTTTCCTGGTTTAATTTTTCTTTCTTAGTTTAAGATGGCTAAATAAGTAACATGGGCATGATTTACCATGTAAGGGCTTATTATGCTATGACTAGTAAAAAGCGCTAGAGGGCATGTCAGAACAATTTTCCTCTCATGCCCTTTCAGTCCTACCTTGCTGCCAGGTGGTGCTCTGGGACAAGAAACACCCAGCTGCAGCACTTCTGTCACTCTTTTCCTGGGTGCGAGTTGCACAGGGCGCTTGGGGGGCTGAGGCGCAAAATCTTTCTGTGCAAAGCTAACCCCAAGTGTACACCAGCATGGGGAGCTCGGGTGCTTTTTTTGGTGCCAAACCTTTCCGTGCAAAGCCCTGCAGGGCTCCCCAAGTGTACACAAGCAACTCCCAAGGCTGGGTGAAGCAGGGGGCACCCTTCAGGCGGCATGCTGTTTCCATAAAATAGCCTTCATGGAAGATATTTAGGAGCTAAAAACAAAACATGTCAGAGGTGTTTTAAATTGCCACAAAGAAAAAAGCTAAAACAATAAAATCAGCTGATAATGTGGATACACAGACACAATTCAGCTAGCTTAATGGCGATTTTTGTCTCGTGGACACAGGAAAAGTGTAACGTGGTAACAGAACAGGTGTAATGTAGACAAGTGCCCTAGAGAGACAAGGCACACATTCTCTCAGAGGATTTACAGCTCTTTAATGACAGAAGAAGAAGGTTGAGATTTGGAAATCCTTAGATTCTATTCCAAGCACAGTGGGAGTTGGGGGAGGCACGGGAGTCTGCGGTGGCAGACTGTTATACCACCTTTCCCTCCGAGTCCCGGTCCCTCCAGCTTTTCCTTATCTCTGCTCCATGTCCTTGTTTCCTTCTTGTCCCTCTGCAATCTGATTAGGACATCACTGCCTTCTTCATGTCACTGTGTCAGTGCTGGGAGGAGGGGGCAAAAAAAGTGGAGACTATTACTGTGCTCCTGAGGCTTCTCTACAGCAACCGGTGGTAGTTAGAAAGCAGTTGGAGGGAAAGTCCCTGCTTGGCTGTGCAGGCTCAGGCTGGAGCGTGTTTAGTACAGAAAGAAGTCTTCAGAGAATTAAGCTCTAATGAACTGATCATTACTGTGATTTTTTCAGAAGCTCATAACTTGACCAAATGTGGGCACATTTTCATAGGAAAGGCAAAATATACATTCCTGATACCAGCATGCTTTTCCTGCCCTGTTTATTTCAGATCCATGCTCTAAAGCAGTGGTTTTCAACCTGGGGTCCGTGGACCCCTGGGGTCAGACTAGGGGCTTGCAACAGGTGACTATGTTCAATCAAAAGCATGTGAATATTTACACTTACAATTCAAAGGGGTCCATACCTCCATTCGACATTTTTTAGGGGTCTGCAAATGCAAAAAGGTTGAAAACTACTTCTCTAAAGGATAGCAGTGTAGGAACTTTGCAATGAAATGGTTATGAGAATTTTTCCTTAAAATATTTTTCTAATTTGCTGAACTGTTTTATAGAAAATTGTCTGAGGCAGGCACTCGATATGGAAAACTTTAGCCTTAAAATCTGGCAAAATTTTAAGCAAGTGAAAGATAGGGTCTGTTTAAAAGAAAGCTGTGGGCAAATTGCATGATAGGTGATGCTATCAGTACAAACTATCATGCTCTGAAGAGGAATCAAGCCTTGCTGAGTGTTCCTAATGTAGGGAGAAAGAAATTCATTTGGAACAGGATATAAAAGAAAAAAAAATATTATTAAGCAAATTGATCAATCATTCAAACTGCATCTCCTTCTGAGCTGCGCCAGGTTCCTAAGCCCTCTGTATATAACTCCCTGGTAGCATCACTATAATATGAATGTACAGCTAACAGCTCTGAGCGTTATACTTGTTTTTGGTCTCAGCTCTTTTAGCAGCTTGGTTTATGACTTGGACTTCTTGTGTACATGGTAGTAAAGTGAAATCAAGTCACTATTTCTAAGCCACCACGTGGACACTAGTTATTGCTGCTATTGTGGCTCAGATTTGAATGTAGAACCCAGAGGTGAAAAACTCTATGTCCCAATAACACCCTTAACCATCCAGTGCCCCAAGTTCAGTCCCTTTCCAAATAATTTGCTTGAATTTTCTAAATATAGTTGACTCTTAAAGCATGACTTGCCATAACCCATGGTTTTCCTATAGATGATACTTCTATCTGTCGTAGGAGGAATTTCATTACGGCCGGTGCAGGAGCAGGGATAGCTTCAGTGTTTCGTGCTCCAGTGGGTGGCCTCTTGTTCACACTAGAAGAAGTGGCTTCGTTCTGGGACATCAGACTGGCCTGGCAAACCTTCTTCTGTTGTCTGATGGCCACATTCACTACGGATTTACTCTCCTCTTCCCTTGATGGATTTGTTTACAGAGGTCATTTTGGATTTTTTGAAGCAGAGAAAGGAATTTTATTCTGGGTATGTAACAAATGGAGTAATAAAAGAAATGTAGCTCATGGCTTTATAATTTTATATGGCAAACACGCCTAACTGAGGGACCTCTGAGGGACTGGGTGAAGATATCTCTGGCATAATTAGTTTCTGGTACAATGTGGTTCATTATATTGTGAAGCATAAGTGGGGACATAAACTTGTTTTCATTTTTCAAAGCAGGCTGCTTTTAATTCTTTTGGGCTATAATTACAACTGTGAAAGGCAGCTTTTTTCTCTGCCGTATCCCATACCACGTAACAGCTATCTGCAAATGCAGGTTAAATGACTTCCCTGATATCCTTTACCACATGTTTAGTAGTCTTTGGTAACTTGCATGAAGGTGAGGCAGCTTGTAGTTCTAACTTGCATTAGCACGTCCAGGTAAATCCTAGACTTTTTCCCAACAGCAATGCTGGCTGTAGACACAAAAAGTAGATTAAATAGAAGAATCTGTTAGGCAGCTAAGTCTTGCTGGCTCCATAGATGATAGATTAGGACACGTTTGACTACAATTTTAATTGCTACAGTTTTTGCTGAATTTGCATTATGATGATCTGCACAACAGGCATCACATTGGTTCCTGTATATGGTTTCTCTGTATGCAGTTTTACTTTAATAGCTGAGAATCCAGATGGGAATTGCATTCTTTCTAATTAATAGAAAATGTTAGTTCTTTAATGTAATGCACTGAACAGTTACTTCCAAACCACTGTTTCTCTTTCCACTGGGAATGCTTGCACAGCGTTGAGCACAGAGCTCATAGTTGTATGCTGTGACTTTCAAAGCGGCCTGATGATTGTTAAATTTAATGAATTCATCAAAATGTCACTTGGGCAGCTAACTCCTTATGAGGTGCCTTGCAAAGCCTCATTTGATCCACACAACCATATGGACTATGTTGGTATAGCAAGTAAACATACCAGAAAAAAATATCAGAAGTCAGGTCACATGACCTTTTAAATACAATTAATATCTCTGTGTTGAAAAAAAGTAGTTAGTTGTGTTAGTCTTAAATCAGGCAGAATGTAGGACTAACAAGTTTGGAGAATCATTAGCCGTCATAGGCAACAACCTATTAACTATCTTAAATTTGGATGACTCAAAGCACACAAAGGAAAAATTTTTTAAAAAATCTAACAAACAATAGGATGTTGTTTTAGGTCTTAAATGTGCTTTCCTGGAAGCTTACTCTTTCTGTTACACTGTGTTGCTTACAAAGGGGTTCAAATACAAAGAAACAATTTTTTGGAAACTGCAGATATTTGTTTACGCAGTGAAAGATATGTTTGTGTATACGGGAATGTGACACTCCAAAAATGTGGTGAAACCTGCACAAATTGTGACTGAGTTTTAGAAAAAACTTGTGTATGCAAACTAAAAATAGAAAGTAGCCATTGGGTAATAGTGGTCAATTCTGCTTGAGCACAGTTGAGGATGTGGGTCCTTATTCAATGGAGGGCTGAGCACCGTCAGCTTCAAGTGATTTTGAGCAGAAATACCTGCACTCAGAATCCCATTAGATTAGGGGGTAGTGGCCATATTTGAGATCTGCTGGGCAACTGTATGGAGAAATTTGCACAGAACAATTTTTTCATGATATCCAGGATTTGAATCAGAGGGGTGTGGGGGGGGGGGCTGAGTACCCCATAAAACGAGAGCCCCCCCTGTAAGATTTGAAAATCATAATGGTGCAGGGGGGGAGGAATCTCTGATTTTGTTAGGGCATTGTGATGGGCAGTCCAATTTTTTTTTTGCAGCCCCCCCACAAGAGTCAGTGTAATTTGAACTGTAGCCAAGTGCTTATCAGTTTCAC